TGTTTATGTCTGGTTGAAAGTCACTTTAGTGGTAACACACACACATACGCAATACTATTTGTAAAGTTTCTGCTCCACACTTTCTCATTCAATGTTTTACTTTCTACACATCAGCTTATGTTCTTTTCCAACTTTGACATGTGACACTTTGAGGTCTCAAACATGGCGATAGCAGGGGAAAAACTGCATGTTGTATTCTAGAGACAACAATGCCTCCTGCTGTATGTGTTCACTTCCTTGTAGCTAGATGAGATTTGCCCCACACTCTTGTTTGTACTGGTTTAGCCCACCTTAGCTTGGTCAGAGGGGAACAGCAACATATGTTTCATCCAGACATGATGCTGTAAATCAAGGTTCCCACACTTATCCTGTCAGACTGACAGACTTTCCGTTGCCTCCAGGTTGCTTCTGTCACCCTTCGAGCATAGCGACACAGTTGGGAAATGTTTCCCTCAGTTTGACATTTATGCTCTCTCTCGTTTTTATAGCCTTGATTTTTCACCACCTGTTTAATTGGATCTCAGCTGAAAAAGCCTTTTGGTGTGGATGCCTGCCAAAGCAGAAGCCTCCTTCAGGAAGACCGTGTATAGCGTATCTGGCCCAGTAAATCGCTGTGATAACTGATGGAATTTCAGATCGACGAACCGACGTGATAATTGGATTTTCCGGCTCCACTTCTGCAGAATACCTTTTGTTTCTGCGCCGCAGGAGTATGTGGCTCCCGCTTCAGCGGGAGAGCCCGTAATCTTGGGGGGCAGGAAGTCTCTTGGCCACATCCTTGTTGCCAGGGTTGTTATTTAATCTTATGATCCAGGCTCCCTCGAACATATCAGTAGAGTAATCAGCTCTGGAGCACTTCAGGGAGGAAAAGCACTACATCCTTTTAACAGCAGGGAGTTCCAGACTAGAGTGGCGAGTCAGCAAGGCTTTCCGATACAACGCTAAATAGAAAACATGTTTGAGTTCTTCTCTTTGCATATTTAAATGTTAACAATAGTAGGCTAAAATGCATTTCCCTTAAGCTAAATCAAAGAGGTGTATGTAAAGCATATGTTATTGCAGATTAATCGTCCCTGATCTGTTTACAGTATACTGACACCACATACAGACAGATTTATGATAGAAAAAGGCCTCTATCGATTCTCCGATAATGAGACTGATTGTGATGAGGGAGATAGGGACCTGAGCAGAGTGGGGGTAAAGTCACAATTCATTAACTATTCATGAATATGGAAAGACAACTTATGGTCAATTACAGAAGTGTCATTTATGTGAAGAAGTGAAGGACAAATCCAAGACTATGAATGAGAAAGCAGAAGACGGACACCGTGGGTGCAAGGATGCTCATTTTCTCATCAGTATTCACTGACACCTCCGTGCTCAAATATGCACATGTGCAAAAAAGCAGTCATACACACACCGACACACACTGAGCACAATCTGTCATATAGAGACAGACGTATTGATCAGACACAGATAAACAGGGGACGGGCAGGCAGTGATAGGCCATTTGCAGCTCTTGAAATTGGATAGTAATCAATTAATGGTCTTTTATTATGGGGATCATTTAATGGGGATGGATTGAAACGGCTTAATTTTAAGTGAAGAGGAAAGACTCAAATCTCTAAAAGTTTCCTTCTCACTCAAAGTCATGTACTTTATTGTGCACTTTTAACCTTTGTTTCCTCTTAAAACTTCTACAGAGAACATTTTACATAAATAAGAGACCAAACTAAACACTGAACCACAGAATAGAGTTTCCATCAGGAGTTAAATGAGCAGGAACACCTTGTTAGTACCACATTGGACTCTCTTTTTACTTTAGAGCTGACTTAATTCTTTGTGGCATAGATTTCTGGAAAAACTCCTCAGAGATTTAGGTCCATGTTGACATGGCAGTATCAAACAGTTGCCCAAGATTTGTTGGCTCTGTACATCCATGATGGGAATCTCTCGTTCCACCACATTCCAAAAATGTTCTATTGGGTTGGGAGCTGGTGACCTGAGAGGCTGTTTGAGTACTGTGAATCCAATGTCATGTCCAAGAAACCAGTTATGATTAGAGTTTTTTGACATTTCACATGATCCTGCTAGAAGGAACCATCAGAAGATGAGTACAGTGTGGTCATAAAGGGATGGACTTGTCTGTGACATTTTTAATTAATTAGTAATAAGGGTCCCAACAATCTACCGCCAGCAACCCTAACTGTTGATACAGGCAGGATGAATCAGTGCTATCATGTTGCTTATGTCAAATTCTGACCCTACTATCTGAGTGTTACAGCACAAATTCAGATTCATTAGACTAGGTAACTTTTTTTTTTCTCCAATCTTTTATTGTCCAGTTTTGGCGAGCTTGTGCAAGCTGCAGCATCGGGTTCCTGTTCTCAACTGACAGGAAAGGAATCGGTGTGGTCTTCTGCTGCTTTAGCCCATCTCCTTCAAGGTTGTTTGTACAGAAATGCTCTTTTGCATTGGTTGTAGTGAGTGGTTATTTGAGTTGCTGTTCCGTCCTGATCAGCTCAAAGCAGTCTGGCCACATCAACAAGGCATTTTCAGCCAGAGAACTGCCACTCACTTCTTTTTTTCAACCCTAGAGATGATTGTGTGGGAGAATCCTAGTAGATGAGCAATTTCTGAAATGCCAGCCAGTCTGGCACCAACAACCATATTTTATTCAAAGTCATTTAAATCAACTTTTTTCTCTGTTCTGATGCTCAGTTTGAAATTCTGCAAGTCTTGACCATGTGTACATGCTTAAACGCATTGAGTCGCAGCCATGCGACTGGCTAATTATATGTTTGCGTTAATGAGCAGTTGAGGTTAATGACGCTTAATGAAGCGCGTGTGAGCAATTGCACAAAACCTATCTAAGTGGTTAAAAGTTCTTATAATGAGATTTTACTGTGTTTGGTTGACTTTGATGAAGCATTAAGATCTTCATTTTGAGTGAAATATCAAAAGCCTATGTCTTGTTCTTCATTTGATGTACATTCTCTCATATTTCCCTGGTGTATTGTATTAGATATGTTTTTAAAGAGCAAAAGTAAAGTCAGTGAACTTGCATGGACTACAGTCATCTGCTGCTTTGTTTCCGTGAAAGGGAAGTCATGAAACTTTGCTGAACCTTAATTCCCTCAGATCAAAGAGGAAACACTTTAAATAATGTGGGCATTCAACTGTCATTACTCAAGTAAACCCATTTGAAAGTGTTTATTTTCCTAATTGATTAAAAGCATTTTTACTACATTGCACTAATACACGGTTACTTTACAAATACTCATTAAAATAATCAGGAAAATGAAAAACAAATCCCCCCTCGGATGTCATCTACACTTCTGAATGGCCTTTTGTCATTGACATTTGGAGTTAATGCAAACTTGCAATCTGAAACAAATAAAGCACATATGCTCCATTACTTGTTTATTTTATGGGAAACCACATGAACGCTCTCTGTTTCCAGTAACACAGTAAAGGATGTGTTGGGTAAATGAACTGCAGGCGATTCATTTGCTGCTTTAAACATTGCTCATCATCCATTTGTCGTGCAAACAATTTGTTTCCGAAATCCAAATCCACCACAACGCTGGCTCAGGCAGTTTGTCAATGTTAAATGTAAACACATGAATAAATGCTGGACCTGTTGAACACCATGTTTTCCCTCACTGTCTGTTGGCCAGATATTGCTGAAATAAGAGGAGTCCGCATCAGTCAAGGGGGTTTCATGCAGCTGTGACTCGATGGTTTTAAATCAAATCAGTAGAAGAAGAAAAACTTGCTCAATCATCTCAGGAGAGCAGGTGCCATGAAAGATAAATCAGCAGATTAGATGTCACAGCGCTGGTTAAAGCTTAAGGTACATTTTGCATCATAATGCAAAATCTATCACCCCAACACAGTAACACCTAATTTAGCATGAGTCTTTCCACTGGTATATTCTACCCAGCATTTCTCCTCATTACTGCCATGTGTTTAACACACTAGCTGAGCTCAGCAGCTCTCCATCCCGGTCGCACTTCCTGCAGACTTTGGCCTGCTTGAGTCCTTGTTGGAACCTATTGGGGAGGTGATGGTGAGGGGGTGGGCATTTTGCTCTTGCAGGAAGAAGAGGGGGTGGAAATCTGTCGGAAATTGCTGTTAAGTGGTTCTCGAGGCTTTGTGGTTTTGACTCACTGGGCCCGTGGTGAGTGGATGGTCCTGTTCTGCAGACCTTGCAGTGAGACCCGGAGGGGCTGTCTGGGGCCCTCGAACATTAACAGAGTAGTGTCTGAAGCTTTGATCACACAGATTTTGAGATGCTTTAATAGCAACAGTGTGTGATGTTCTTACATTATCTCTTAGTGGTCTTTTTGCTGAATGTAGTATGGGATTAAAACAGCAAGTGGTGCTGGTTTTGAGTTATAAACATTGAAACTTTATTGTGGTAGCTCAGAAACCAGTGGTGTAATTTTGACAAAATGTGAAAATATTGTGCAGCCGGATCAAGAGTGTTTTGTGGAGTTAAATACATGTAACATAGCAAGTTCACACAACTTGGCTCAACATATAATGTAAGCAGAATATGGACATAATGTCTTCAAGTTTGTATAGCGCTTTTACTAGGGACCCCAAAGCGCTTTACAGTCATCCACCCATTCACACACTGGTGGAGGCAAGCTACAGTTGTAGCCACAGCTGCCCTGGGGCAGACTGACAGAAGAAGACTGACATATCGCGCCATTGGCCCTTCTGGCCAACACCAGTAGGCGGTAGGTGAAGTGTCTTGGACAGGTGAGCTGTCCGAGCCGGGGCTCGAACCGGCAACCTTCCGATTACAAGGCGAACTCCCAACTCTTGAGCCACGCTCGCCCCTTTTTAAAAAAGTGGCCAAATTAAAAAGAAAAAGAAAAACACTTCAAGAACTCAAAACAAGTGAAGTTAAGCTCCAGACCTTCTGGATGTACTGAAGTGAAATAGACTGTGTCAATATTTATCTGACAGTTTCTTCTTTTTTAATTTAGGAACCTGATGCCTCGGACACTCGACGGGCAGATCACTATGGAGAAGACACCCAGCTACTTTGTCACCAAAGAGGCTCCAAGTCGCATCTGCACTATGAATTGTCAAACCAAGCTTATTGTCGTCGTCAGGGACCCGGTGACGAGGGCTGTGTCTGACTACACCCAGACGCTGTCCAAGAACCCAGGGCTTCCATCCTTCCAGAGCCTCGCTTTGAAAAACTCCTCCACAGGTTTGATTGATACCACGTGGAGTGCTGTGCGCATCGGCCTCTATGCCAAGCACCTGGAGAACTGGCTCCAGTACTTCCCTTTGTCTCATTTTCTGTTTGTTAGCGGCGAACGACTGGTGTCTGATCCAGCTGGGGAGATGGGCCGAGTTCAGGACTTCCTGGGTTTAAAAAGGGTTGTTTCGGACAAGCATTTCTACTTCAACCAGACAAAAGGTTTTCCCTGCTTGAAGAAGCCAGAGGGAAGCAGCAGACCCCGCTGCCTCGGAAAGTCTAAAGGCAGGCCTCATCCCCAGATCCCCTCTGAGGTACTGCAGAGACTCAGAGACTTCTACAGGCCCTTCAACCACCGTTTCTACCAGATGAGTGGACAGGACTTTGGCTGGGACTAAGCAAGAGTCTTCTTTGTGGAGAGATGCTCATTTACTGTTTCCACAGGGCTAATGTTCTCAGGGTACTGGGAGAGACAAAGTCCATTCTGCCTCAGTGGAGTCAACACGACATGCAGCACTCATGAACTGTCACTGTGTTGTTGTATTTTGAGGCTCAGACGGACATAGTGCTGCTAATATAAAAACGACAAATTTAGTTAATGGCTTAAATATATAACCGTTAAACTGTTTTTGACATTCTTTATGTACAGATTAGAAGAAAAGGTGATATTTATAGTTTCTGTTGAATACAACAGGTATTTTTTTATTATTATTATTATTAAAGAAGTGTATTTATTGCGCGACAAAGCAGGACATAATACCAACATCTGACAGGACATTGGGAGTAATGTAATACTCTTTGCCTGCATTTACATATTTTCCAGTCTTTTGAATGCTACATACAGTTTGATGTTGCAGGACATTCCTCAGTGCATTGCAGTTGATATACCAATGATACCTCATTTGTAAATATTAAGTCGAAACCATGCGTAGACACATTCCATTTGTAAGTATTTTCCAATAAAAGCCGCATCATATTTTATATTGTAATTCCTGGATGGGATCAATTGTATCAGCTGTTACTCACAATAAATTGCTACTTTTGATCTGTGATTATTCTGAACCACTGTAAATGTAAAAAAAAAAAAAAAGTGTTCAAATTACAGTGTATAAAAAATGTGCCTCTGATTCTCTGTGTTGTGAAGTAAACTTTTATCTGATGTGACAAACTAATTTGTTTTCATTTCATGTGTTAGCATTAAGGTCAGTTTTTGTATGGTTACATCAGGGTGCAAAATTTTCACCAGAGGTTGAAGACTGTACTGTACTGCCCATTCTCTATGTAATACAGTTTACACAGCTGGATCTTTTCATATCAAGAAAATAAAGTCCTCTGAAAACAAAGGAATGTGTAAGTACCATCCGTGAAAGTTCTTAGACTGTTTAAACGTTTTAAAAATATGGTTTCTTAGAGAAAAAGTGTCTCTGTGGCTCAGTTTGCATCAGCTTAAGGGGGTAAGCTGACCATTTAAATGAATGAATTAAACAAGACTAAACCAATCAAATGAAGTTTAAATTTCAATATCTTTTGATTGCATTTAAAGAATAGAATAGAATAGAATAGAATAGAATAGAATATATCTCTATTGTCACTACCATACATATGTTGTACAGTGCAACAAAATCAGATTTTCAGCTGTACAGGTGTTCAAAGAAAGATTATATTAATTAATGTTAATGAAAAATGCAGGACACAAGAAAACCTCCCCCCTAAAAAAACCTAACAAGTTAAACAGAGACGTTATTGAGCAAAATTAAATAAAAACATAAATTAGAATGATTAAATACATTAAATACTGTTACCAAAACTATCGGAGATTGAAACAAAGTAATGCCACTCAAATTAATAAAAAGAAAAAAAAAGTTACCACCAGAATTTAACTGCCCCAAAATAGAGATTTGTAGCATCAATATATGTTTATAATCAGGTGCAAAGTATATTCTGGTTGTCATCAGCAATGGGTTTGGTGTTCTCTAGCAGTTCAGATTTAATTTAACTTCAGTGGCTTTTGAAGGGCTGAGTGGCTCAATTTAGCCCACACATTTGACTCACTTTGACCCAAAGGTGCCATTTTGGAGAAAACTAGTTAGCTCATTAATTCAGGCTAATATTTAGCTAAATTATTTGCACACATCATAAATACTTTTGGACCTGGACAAAGACAGCAGGCATTACATCTGATATGCTATTTTTTTTTTTTTTTTTTTTACATTTCTTTGACAAGCCAAATATGATATATAGCACTAAGATGCCAAAGGCAGTTTTTAAAGTAAATTGGTGTTGTGCACTCGTCTCAGGTGCATCACAGTCTGGCAGAAATGAGTTTCAAAATTAACAGTCACATATCAATAAAGTGTAATCTGTCAACCATCCATCTCACGAACTAGGCTGAAGATATGTTCAGTTTTTGGCAAAATCATTTTTATATATGCTTTATTTATCCAGATAAAAGTGTTTTTGATATTAAAAATGCCATTTTCAAGAGGGCAGCAGAAATGCCATCACAGTTGTGAGTACAAGCTTGTGTCCACCTGCAGCTGAGCTTGTGACTCCTCCCAGTCTCAAATATAGGATTTTCAGCAAATTAGGTGAAAGTGAATGTGTCTGAAAAACGATTCAGTTCCACTTTTTTTTTTATCAGTAATTTATTTCAAATATATGTTCTTTTGCCTCCGTTAATAACATGCTTCCCCATAGAAAAGAAAAGTTAACCAAAAGTTAACCAAAAGATCAACTTCTTGCTATCTGCCTACCACTTTTTCCCTATTGACTATAATTCTGATTGATAAAAGTTGTTTATTCAACTTTTGACAAAGTATTGTGCCGTTATTCTGGCACTAAGATGCTTTTATTCTTTCCTCCCTCTCTTTCTCTCTTGTTCACCCCTCCTCCCATCACTAAGGAGAAATCTCACTCTCTCTGCCCTCTAGTCCCCAGTCTCTCACACTGCTTGTCCTTACCACTTCCATGCAGTGCGACCACATTACAGTCTGAGGCCTCCATGTGTTGTGGCCTTTAATTATGAAATATGTCAGATCACACAGAAAAAAAACCCTCCTTTCACTCGGGGCTTACAATTAACAGCAGAGATCTTCTCTTTCATGGTGTATATTCCTGTGTGGAAGAAAATAAAAGGTTCCTCTGAAGCAACTAACAAAAGAGCTTGTAAAGTGAAATATACACGTAGTGGCGTCATGCGTTTTTTAAAAACTAATTTACTGAAATATGTCTAACTGTTAAAATAACTGTTAAAACAGAATTTAAATGAAAAGTGAGCTTTGTTTGTGGAAACATCAGTGGCTTGTGAATGAAATGGCCGGCTGCTTGCATGAGCATGCTGATGTGTGTATATGTGCAAGTTTAACATCACAGCACGCACACTCCTTACGTCTTCTCTCCTTTAGCTCCAGTCAGTATTTCTCTCACATTCCCCTTCTGTTTTATTTGTCTGGCATTAACGTTTAGTGGGTCTCACTAAAATTTTTAACATACTTGGCTCACTTCATTTCTGCCAACTTTTATTACTCTGCATTACCAGGCACGCTGATAGGGCACTGCCATTTTGCCGTGCCAGCCCGGCAGCAGGCATTAAAAGATAACTGATATCCCATTCTGCCATCTGGGAAAAATGTTTGTATCAATCTTCACAGGACTAGCCCAGTCATTAAGGGTGATTAAATCAGCAAGACATTCTGCATAATCTACAGCTGTCACTAAACATTGGTAATAATGTGAGAAATCTAATTGAGGTGAATGAAGAATTGGCAAGTGATTGAGAGCCAGGAACAAAATGATCTACTGCGCATTTACAAAAGTAGAACTTCATCCAACTTTTTAATAGAAGCAAATAAGTCTTAAAGTGTTGTCTCTGGATATGACCTCACGAGAAGCCGCCCTCTCCTTGCGGCTGCCGCAGCAGTCTGTCGACATCACCAGCATTTTGTCATATTTTATGACCGCCATCAATCCAGCAATTCACAAAAGTCTTGGTTTCATTTAAAGTGTCAGACTTCACCAGACATTTAAAGAACAATCAAAATGTATATGGATGTATTTTACAATTCCAAACCAGTTTGTTCTCAGAAAACAACTCATTTTCATTCTAAAGAAAGAAATTTTCTCTGTGTTCACTAAAATATGAAATATCAAAGCCTGAATTTGCAGTTCGTTGGTTTTTAACCAATCGTGATCCATAATGCAACTTTAAATTGCCCAGGTCTGTGTAGGCCTGTAAAAAACTAAGTAAACCCATAGGAATTAATAATCCAAGTAGCAGCCAGGTGCTTCTAATTAAATTAACTGATCATCAGCAACCACCTGTGAAAATGAGAAGGTTTGGAAGTTTGCTGGCACATTCCGCTGTGTGAACGCAATGCCATCACAGTAAGAGTCCCAGCAAACTCACCTCAAGGTCAGACCGCGCCATTCTCAGAGAAACTGCAGAAAAGCCAGCTCATACTAACTGTTAAAACACGGTGGAGGAGGGGTCATGTTTTGGACCCCCCGCTACAGGACCTGAGCGCTCTGCAGTCAGTGATTCAACCATCAACTTCTCTGTATACCAAAGTACTCGAGAGTCAAATGTGAGGCCATCTGTCTGACAACAATTGCTTGGCTTAAATTGTCTCATGCAACAGGACAATGATCCGAAGCACAGCGGCAAACAGCTGCTGAAAAAAGCCAGGTCAAAGTCTAGACCTCAAACTGTTTAAATTGCTGTGCCTTTCACATACAACAGAACAACAGCAGCGCTGTGCTAGGAAAACAGTTCTTTTCTATGGCTTGTGTTGAAGCAATAAAGGATTTCTGCTGCATCAAGCAAACTGCAGCACAAGCGTACTGGATTTGAAGACCTGCACATTTTGCAGTCAGGCAACACAAATTTTGGACCGTTTGTTCAACATAGTAGTCAGTCACATCCAGATGAACAGAATGAAACTTTTGAAATAAAATTAAAACAATACCGTAAATTAATTAATTAAAACACTGCGGTAACAAATGGTAATAAACCATTGTTACTCTGCAGTATATTCATCCGAAAAGTGCTGTCAGGAGTGTCGTGTGTGGATGAGAGGACGGGAGGAAGGGACCCAAACGCTGGACTCACGGTGGAGGATAATGGTATTTTTTGAAACGGCTGGCTGAACTGAAGCGACTGAACAGAACTGAACACACGGGAACGGCAGTGACAACATCAATGACACGACGGTGAACAGAAGGAAACTGAAGACTTAAATACTCTGACTGATGATGACGATTGGAGACTGGTGAGTACACAGCTGAACATAATCTGACTAATGACACATGCAGTGGAACTAGAACATAATGCACAGAGACAGAAGGTTGGCACAGTGAAACACGAGCATGTAGGAAATAAACTGAACACGAACAAACTGAAATCGCTGGGTCAACGACCCAGGAACCCTGACAAGTGAAATACACAACATTTCCTCTAAGATTGCTTGAAATATGGATAATCTATAATACCATAACTGGTCAAAACAGCTAAAATGCAAAAGATACATTTATAAATTGCACGTTTGTAATCCTCCCCTTGTCATGGGAACAGGAATTTGTTTAGCTTTCACCAGCATGCAGCTTCCAGTGATTTCAGTCTGCAGTTGCACGCCATCAATAAAGAACATGAGGGATTTGTTTTTATGAGAGAAAAACTACCCAATGTGGATTGAGTTACAGGCCACGGTGACTATTTGAAATTAGGCATGATGGTGGATGTCTATTTCCTTTTTTTTCTTTGGATGACTAATTTTTGAATAATGGGCACCCAGCTAAATAATCAGAAACACTCGGGAGGGGGGGGGCTATGAACTGAAGACCACGCTGAGGGGAAGAGCGCTGATTTCTACACACCAGATTAAAAGTAGGATTAGCGTGTAAAAGTGGTTTCCCCTTTGAGCAGCCACAAATGAAGATAGTT